GATGTGAGCACACGCATCTCGGCCTGGGAGCCCAGGCTGGACAACTGCCCCACCTGAAGTCATGGCGGAAACCTGCTGTGCCCCTCCCCCTCCACCCCCTCACTCTGGCCCGCCTGCCTGCTCACCTGTAGGCGGCCCCGTTGAGCTCTGGGTGCACAACTGCAGGGTCCATGCTGGCCCAGTGGGTGGCGGCTGTCAGGTGGTCCTTATTGACACAGTTCTTCAGGCTGTCGGGGACACGGCCTGCGAGGTGCAGGGGGGCAGACAGGGCAGAGCTGTGTTAAACAGCTGCCACTGAGGGGACCCCAGGAGTGTGGCCGCTTGGTTGAGAACACGGGCTGCCCCCCACAGTAGCTCAGGCTGCAGGGGCCCCGTGGCCGTGCCTCCCTCCCTCCCGAGGTCCCGTGTGTCTGGGCAGTCACCCTCCCGGCTCAGTGACCTCAGCTCACCCATCTGCTAGGCCTGGGGATTTCAGAGAGCAGCTGACAGGCCCGCGCAGGAGGCTTACGGTGCAGTCTGACTTTTTAAAGGGTGGTAACAAGTGACCCACATGCTGAAACCTCCCGTGGATAGGTGACACGTGTGAGGAAGGCCTGGGCTGCACCTGCTCGAGCTGAGGGCCGGCTCGGCTGTCACTGAGAGCAGGCCTGACCTCCTCTATGTGTGGGGTCTGCTTCGGTGTGACGCGGCTCAGGGCAGGCCTGTCCCAGCTCCTTGCCGCCATTCCAGTGCGGAATGGTCTTGGCTAAAGGAAAAGTACGCAGTGCCTCCCTCCGGCTGCTTGATGGCTGCTGACCTCCAAAGGGAACCTGCCGCCCGCCCAGCGTCCCCAGCGTCCCACCTGTAATGGCTCTCCGGATCTCCCGGGCTGCCTCCTCACGCATCTCGATGGATGCCTGCTCGCTGTACCAGGCTGCGTGCGGGGTGCAGATCAGGTTGGGGGCATCCTTCAGGGGACCCTGGCTGAAGCTACGGACAGCACAGCGCAGGTCAGAGTGCCGTGGCCTGGGTGGGACAAGGGTACCCGCCCTTGCCTGGAACCCACCCCCACCCCTCTGGTGGGCCCCCCCACATGGTCAACCTGCCCATAAGCTGCTGGTGGCAGTGGAGAGGGGCCTCCACTGGGGGAGCTGCCCTGGCCTAGCTGTGGGCTCTCGGACCCAAGGCCCTCCTGGCACCATTGTGTTTGGGGCAGAAGACCCACCCGGGTGCCTGCTGCCCCGAATGGGTTTCTCAGCTGTGGGGTCTCTGGATGTGGCCACGTGATGGGGGGCCAGCCGCCTTCCACAGCAGGGCAACCCATCAACACGGTGCCCAGGGCGCTGAGCAGGAGTGCAGCTCTGAGTCCCTCCCCTTCCCCGTCAGGTGCAGGCCACCCTGTGCTGGCCGCCTGCCTACTGAGACTTGGCTGGACACGGAGACCGAGTATGCCCATATCCTGGGCCGCTGGCTGCCTAAAGCCGCAGCCTGGAGATGCATGTGGGCATAGGAGCCTCTCTGTGGGCATGGCCGGCGTGGGGCGTGAGCCTGGGTGAGTGCCCGGCCCGGGACCACCCGGGGCGCCCCAGGAGGCACCTGAAGGGCTCTGACTCGTGCACATCCAGGGCTGCACCACGTATCCGGCCCTCCTTCAGGGCCTGGGCCAGCGCCTTTTCATCCACCAGGCCGCCCCGGGCCGTGTTCACCAGGAAGGCCCCTTGTCTCATCTGGAAGACACAGATGGTGCTGAGAGTGAGTAACAGAGGCCTCCTCACTGCCCACCACCAGGGAGGAGAGCCAGGCAGGGGCATAGGAGTTGGCCACCCTGGCCAGGCCACCCTTGCTCTCAGGGCTCTGCCAGCTCCCCCAGGCCAGTCAAGGCTCAGGCCTGTGTGGCCCCCACCCCACCTGGAGCAACGGCCTGCCCCACCTGCTTGACAGTGAAGTCGTTGATGAGGTGGTGGTTGTGCTCGTTGAGGCCACAGTGCAGGGTCACGCAGTCACTGTGGAACAGCAGGTCCTGCAGGGTGCTGACCCGCTGCAGCCCCAGCGCCCGCTCCGTGCCGTCCGACAGGTAGGGGTCGTAGAAGAGCACGTTGAAGCCAAAGGCCTTGGCCCGCAGTGCCACCGCCTGCCCCACACGACCTGGCGGGGAGACCGGTGTCACCCAGCTGCGGCCCCCTCCCTGCCTCAGCATCCCGGTCTGCCCAGGATGCCGTACACACACACCACGCAGTGAGGGAGCAAAACCCTCTGGGCCCCAAGGTGTCCGCCTCCCACGCTGAGCATGGGGCTCCCAGGGCAGACAGAGCCAAACAGTGGACAGGGGCTGCAGAGAGGGGCGGGGGCTGGAGGACTCCCCAGGTAGCACAGAAGATGGATGCTCAGTGGACACTCGGGGCAATGTACAGGACGGGGGCTGCGGGTCAGGCTGCTCCCCACTGTGTGCTGCACCCACAGCATGACTTGGCCCAGGACAGCCACCTGCTGAGTGAGCAAGTGGGGGAACGAACGAAGGAGGCACAAGGGCACACGCCCCACCCCACCCCCGCTAGCCAGGGTAGCTGCTGGTGACAAGCCCTGACAGGCAAGGTGGGGAAAAGACCCCAGGGCCACCAGCCCTCACCTGAAGGCCACATCCACTCAGCCATCACCATAGGTGGGAAGAGGGCGGCAGGATGAGCGTGTGTGACTGAGCCTGTGCGTGACCCTGTGGGCACCTGTGTGACGTCTGTGTGCATGTGGCCCAGCCTGGTGTTCCTGGGGCAGACGGGCCAGCACAGCCTCTGGCAGAGCCCCCTCTGCCCCATGCCATGCCCAGGTAGGGGCCATCCTGCAGCACACAGAGTCCGTGGCCTCACTGTCCGCTGAGCCCACAGAGAGTGAAGCAGAGGGTGACACACCTAGTCCGATGATGCCCAATGTCTCCCCACGGATCCTGGCAGCTCCAGAAGCCACCTCTCGGATCTGCTCCACGCTCTGGACCCGCGTGCCCTCCCGCAGCGCCTGGTGCAGCCAGGTGGTCCTGCGGTACAGGTTGAGGATGTGGCACATGGTGGAGTCAGCAGTCTCCTCCACGGACGCTGCCGGCACATTGCAGACAGCAATGCCTGGGGACACAAGACATGCGTGGGCCGTCACCAAGCCCATCCTTGGCGCTTTACTTATGAAAGGCCAGAGGACGTGTCCCAGGGCCATCCTGAGAGGCTACAAAACAAACAGGTACACGACCACAGTCCTCCCAGCCCCCATGGCCCCCGTCCTCCCAGCCCCTGCATCCCCCATTACCCCCACCTCCACCACCCCCACAGCCCCGTCCTCTCAGTCCCTGCAGCCCCTCAGTGGAAGTCACTCCAGCAGCAGAGTGGCCCTGGAATGTGAGCCAGCTGTTCTCCAGGCTGGGCCCATGTGCTCCATTCCCCCACATGGCCAGGCCGTGCACATACTGGCCAGTTCCCACCGTGAGTGACGCTGCTCCTGGGCCCGTGCCCCAAGGTGCCCCCGGCCCCCCCTTTCTACCCCACCTCTCCCCCAAGCCCCAGCCCCTTTCCCCCTTGTCCCCAACAGCCTGCAGGGTTGTATTCGTGTCTCCTGCTGAGGAGGAGGCACCTGGTGGCCAGGTGGCGCCCAACACACAAACAGGGCTTCACAAGAGGACCCAGGATCCCGCCCTGCCCCCCAGAAACAATTCAGCTACCCCTGAAATGCAACAGTCAGGGAGGGAGGCAGGGGACCCTGAATGGGAACCCAGCTGTGCCTTCCATTAGAATTGGGAACAAAGTACAGCCTGAGCGGGTGGAACAGGTCCTGGGGACTTCTATGTCCCCACCCCCCAGGCACTGAGGGATGACTGTGTGGCACAGCCCCCAGTTAAAGGACGGAGCCCAGCCTGTGAAATCACGAAACTGAGGGCCGACTCAGTGCACAGAGATGAGGCCCTGAGGACACCCGGCTTGCAAAGTGCCCAGGCCACAGCCTGACACTGCAGGTGCCTTCCCGGGGACACTGCCTAGGGACAGGTGACAGTGGAGGGCGAGAGGCCTTGGCCATGCAAGTCGGCAGCGGGCATGAGGGGCTTGCCCAGGATGTGAGGTCAAACTCTGCCACGTTTGCTGCAGGCAAACACCAGGCCATCTGACCCCAGTTCCTCCAGCTGTACCCAGAGGACAGGCAGCACTGGTACACCGTCTACACCGCACAGGGGGCATGGCCTCACCTCGCTGGGCTGTGACCAGCACAAAAGGTGGAAAAGGGGCAGGACAGAATGTCCAGGAAACAGGAGACTGTGCCCAGCACAGTGCAGTCCAAAATTGTTTGTTCCGGCGTGAGTCACACACATGTGTGCGTGTAGCCACACGTGCATACACATACGTGTACACACACTCATGCAGATCCTAACAACATAACTGCCTTTCCCACGTGTCTTGTGGACAAGGACGAGTGACGCCCGATGGGACGCGCTGGCTGCCCGCTGGGGTGACGTCCCTTCCCCTCGGCCCCAGGCAGGGGTGCCAGCTGCCTGGGAAGCCAAGATCAGTGCCAGCTGTCCACAAGACAGGACACGGGCCCTGGTTAAGGCATTCTGAGGACAGCTGCTGTGCCCTGTGACCATGACCGGCCTGGAGGGGAACTAGCGGGGCCGTAGCCACTACAGCTCCACTGATGCCAACACACATGTCACCTTCAGCCACCCCCACAGCAGCAGCAAGACCCACCTCACTGTAAATAAAGTAAAGTCAACAGACAACAAATGCCACAAGGTCACACCCAGGAGAAGCGGCCAGAAGCTGTGAAGCGCAGAGCTTCCTACCTAAATCGCCAGCTGACTTGATGTCTATGTTGTCAAAACCGCTGCCGATTCGGACGATTATTCGGAGGGCCTTGAACTTCTCCAGATCCTCCCGGGTCAGCGTGATGGTGTGGTACATGAGCGCACCCACTGCCTCGTTCAGCACCTGCAGTGAGGGACAGCGCAGCGGTCAGTGCCAGGGCGAGTCCCCGCCAGCCCGGCCCAGGGTGTAGCAGGACACCCGGAGAGGCCACGCAGACGCTGCACCCAGTCCAGCCCTGGCTGGGACGTCTGAGGTCCCGCAGCCTCCTCACCAGCATGCCCGCCTGTGTGTGCTGCAGGCTCTCTGGGGTTCAGCCACCTGATCCAACCAGGTGACCATCAGCTCAGCCTCACCACAAAACCCTGGGGTCCCTGCCTCCCACCATCATGGAAAGGGCCCTACAGGAGGGCGTGGGCACCAACCGCTAAGACAGGTGTTAAATGCTGAGTGTTGGGAGGACAGAATCCAAATGAACCTCAGACCTTGCCTGTGGGGTGCAAAGCCACAGGCCCCTTGGCAAACTGCCACCAGAACAGCAGCAACATGAGGAGCCACGAATAAATCCAGCAGACACGCACAGCTGAGCCCCGTGACAGGACAAACTCCGAGAGGAATCGTGTTCACCCCACACATGAAGGGGCGACATACGCCAAGTCGCTTGCTTGTCCTGACCACACAGAGGGCCGAGCCACCAGGTCAGCCCGTGGAGGTGCGGCCACATGTGCACAGGCCGGCAAGGGGCCCCCAGGGGCCAGCTGAGCATCAGGGTGCTGTCTGCCCCTCAGGACATGGCCGTGGGGTTGTGGGCGTGCAGGGCAGCGCAGTCAGCACGGGTCCCGGGGACACGGGTCCCGGGGACGTGGCCGTGTGTCTCCAGCACAGCCCTGCCTGCCCGGTGGTGTCACGTGGCCTGGGGAGGCCGCTCCCCATGAAGCCCACAGAACAGGTGGGTCAGTCCCAGCATCTCCCGAGAGTTCGGTGACACGTACGTACAGACATACTACTTTTCTTGCAAAACTGCCCACTGGGGCACACACCCCTGTGGGCAGAGCCTGTGCACAGCTGCCCCACGCAGAACCATGCTGGGCCTCAGCCAAGCTCACAGAGGTCGGGCCACCCCTGGTCCCAGCCTGTGCAAGGCCCTGCCAGTCAGTCTGGTGCCCAGGGCCACCCAGCTCTGCGGGGACTTGGTGCGCGTCGAGGCAGGTGGTGAGCCGCTATTGGGTCTGCGGGAACGTGCTCTGGCAACCGCCAGACGCAAAGTGGGGGGGCAACTGTCCAATTTTCACGACCAAGGGCAGGGGACCATGGCGCTGGCGCCACCCCTCCCAGAAAGGCCGACGCATGATGTAATCCACGTGTCATAGCTGGAGGACGGGGTTTAGTCTTCCCCAATGGGACAGACCAGGTGGTCTTGTACTCGAGAACATCTGTCACTGAAATGCAGTGGCCGATGGGAACCCGTGGCTGCTGTGTCTGCCCCCCTCTCCTCCACACTGAGCTTCCTGTGCTGACCCCGGGTCTCCTTGGACAAGGGAGGCCGAGACCCACTGCACAGCTTGCTGGACCCACGGCGCCCCATGTGAGCCGAGGGGCGAGCCTGGGCTTTGGGCTGACTGGGTGACGTGTGGGGCGCAGGACTACAGTGAGGCTGCTCACTGCCCGTCTCGACTCCGTCTACGAGAACAGCCTCCGTTTTAGCTGGACGTGGCCGGCCACCCGGAATACAGACAGTTCCCTGCCTGGACTTTTCTGATGAGGGTAGTGGGCCTGCCTCTGCTCCTGCACTGAAGACCCAGGAATCCCCCTCCCAGAGGCCAGGGAGCTGCTGAGTGGATGCGTGACTCAACTGGCTGGTCCACTGCCCATGTCCTAACATCACTCCCTGGCCTCCTTGGAGGGCATCGAGGTCCCACAGGCACGCAGACCTCTGGTGCCAGGACTCGGCCTGACCTGGTGTGGACAGGGCGAGGTTCTGCGTGACAGGACCAGTAGCCAGTGCCCATGAGAGGCAGAGGGGATTAGCCAGGAGCGCCAGGGCAGGTGGGCACGGTGAGGGCCACGGGGACGGGAACCCCAGCAAGACCCCTCTGTCCTCCGTGTGCTGTGTGGCCCAGCAGTGGGGTGGCCACGAGAGCCAGTGAGGAGGGACCCCTGCGGCAGGGATGCAGTGCAGGGTGCAGAGATCTGGGGGTGTCCACTGTGGACAGGCACAGTGACAGGTGGCCGCATGGAGTGAGCGTGAGGAGCAGAGCCCCGGCCTAGACACTGACGGGTCGCAGACAGGGAGGCCAGAGGGGAGGCCTGGTCTGTGGCCTGGGCGTGCGGACCCGTGGGCCCCGCGGTGAGTGTGCGGAGGCCAGGCCAACTGGCCCGAGCGCATGCAGGTGGCAGCTCACTTCTAATCCTGAACATTTAGTCCTGGCAGTGAAGTCTTCACATCGTGACTGTGTCTCGGGCTCCGTCCCAGTGTGGATGGCCCACGGCTGGTCTGGACACTCCCACTGGCAGGGCGCTCATGCTGCTTCCAGTGTGAGCTGTGCTGCAATGAAAACCTGCATGTGTTTATTTCCTTGAGACGTGTTCTTAGAAACGGAAAAGAGTGGGTGGACTGGAGAGCCCTCCTGAGGGCTTGGGAACTGCTGCCAGGGCGCCCAGAGGTATGACTCACCCCACACACCCGCCGACATCACCGGCACTGTTTAAAATGCTCCATGTGACGGATGCAAATTGTCATCTGTTATTTAGCTTTAATTTTCATCTCTGAGAGTTGCCCACAAGTGTTTCTTGGCAAATGATTTCTTTCATGTCCATGTCTTTTTTCTATTGAGCCTATTTTTCCGTCACACAGTACCAGGGGAAGCATCTCAGCAGGAATGTGAACACGGTTCGGCGGGCCCCCGCCCGGCCTAGGAGGCCACCTGGGCTGCTCCGTGCAGCCACCAGATCCTCCCTTCCTGAGGTCCCTTGTACTCCCTTTTGTGGTTGCAAATGGCTGCGAGAGCCCGGGCATTGCATCAGCCTCCCAGGAGGAGTTCTGCAGGAAACCCCAGGGCTGAGTCCATCTGGCAAGTACCCCCCAGCACAGGGTGCCCCGAGGGTGAGGACAGTGTCACCTGCTTCCTGCAGGCACTGTTTTGGGCCAAAAGCCCCCTCCATCCCCCGTTTTCTGCTGATTTCTCTTTTTCCTGTGGATTGGAGCATTGGTTCTTTTACTGTTAACCGCTGGCTGCTACACGTCTGACAAACACCCACTGTCTCTCCCACCTGTTAAGCATCTCATTTCTTCTGCACGTGGCTGTCCCTGCCTTCCAACCGAACTGCCGCGGCCTGCAGAACTTATCAAGCTGTGTGTCCACACAGCTCCAGGGTTTCCTCTGATGACCTCGGGATGCGGCTCCTCCATGTGACCCAAGGGCTCAGCAGTCCTTCGCCCAGAGCCTGAAAGCCACTTTGCACTTCCCCGGGTCCTCCAGGCGGGGCTGTTTCGGGGTCTGTGTCCCGTCCACTCACCGCCTGCCTGGCAGCCACCCTCTGCCACCCCACCACGCACTATGAAGCCTGTTTGTTTCCCCTGGACTTTCATCTCATTTCTTACACGGCCGCAGCACCTTCCCCCCAGGACGGGGTGCTTCACTTCTCACAGCACCCCCACTGGTAGAAGTGTCCTCGTACCCCCTGTGCCGGCTCCTGGCTGGCTGGCTTTCCCCAGGGAGGAGGGATGGCCCCCCGCCTGGCCGGCGTGACGGAAGCACTGAGTCTTCCTTTTTCATGGAAAAAGGAAAAAGTGCTTCCTTTTTCGCGGTGCACGTCTTTAAGGAACTTTCCAAGAGTGACGCAGCAAACCTGCCTCTGCCCTTGGATGAGCCGTTCGCTCGGAGGTGGTCTGGTTGAAAATCGTTTTCCCCAGAAGCTTTAGAGCACCCAGTGTGGGCTGATCTCTTTGTCTCTTTGTAGGTAACGTTCCCACCCCAGCATTGGTGCAATCAGGAACCTGGATGGGGCCCCCTGGGCTGGTGGGAAGTGGTGTCTGCACTTAGCTCTGGAAGTTTCTTCACCATATTATGGCAGTAACACCAGTCTCCTTCGGTAACACTTGGATAATGTCAACATCCAACGAGCTGTGACGAGATAGAAATCTCTGATCCAAACAGTGATGCAGGCAACAGCCATTTGGTCCCGTCCATGCCAAAGCCTGCAGACGGTGCACAGAGCCCCGTGTCAGCGCCACGTGGGGCCAGCAGGTCCGGCTCCTGCGCTGCTGCTCTGCCATCCCCAGCACTTGGCTTCTCCGCACGTTCCAGGCAGCTGCCCAGGTGCCGGCCGTCACACCTGGTTTCCAGCCAGCAAAAAGGGGAGACGACGTGCAGCCCACTTCCCTCTCACTGGTGGGACTCTGTCACGCGGCCAGCCTGGCAGCAAGGCTTGGAAAAGGAAGTGCTGGTCCAGGACTGTCCACTGGGGAGGGGGACACCGCTGAGGGCCACGGCTGCAGTGGACCCCGGGTCTGAGTCTTCGTCTTCACTGCTGCCATCTTTCTGCTGGGCTCCCCCGACTGTCTGCCAAGCTGCAAGTTCCCACAGCTTAACTCCCAGGCTCGTCCGGGTCTGAGCGTTGGCGTCTCGTTGCCCGCTGCTCACTGCAGCCAGGAGCGGCTGCAGGCCTGAGGACACCAACTCTGCATCCTGACGCTCCACCCCAGGCGTCAGGCTGTCCCCAGGGGCAGTGTGTCCCCACGCCAGGCCCGTGGCTGCTTCCTGTGCAGGTCGTGTGACTGGAGGGCTGAGGGGGTCTGTGTATTGGGGTGGGGGTGGAGTCTGCCCTGCCCCTGCCCCTGCCCCAGCCCGTGGGCGGGGGGAGGGGCTGTTAACTTATTTGGGTTTTATATTAGCTTAGGGAGGTGGTTTGGCAAATTACAATTTTAGAAGAAACCATCTGTTTTTTCTGAGTATTCAAATTTATTGGCAAAACTTGTTTTAATGTTGCTTATGATTTTTAGAAACTTCTGTCTGCATGTCTCGTTTTCATTCCACATATTGGTATTTTTAGAATATCTTTTTAGTTTGAAATAGTTTACGATTCACCACAAGCTGCCAAAATCGTACAGAGGGTTCCTGTGTCCCCTTACCAGCTCCCCAGGGACAGCCTCGCACATGACCAGGGCGCCTGGGCACCTAGCCCACGTCCCCATCTTTCCTTACACGTGTGTGCTGGCAGCTGTGTAATTTCACGTGTCCCTCGAGGAGTCACCACAACAGGACCCAGGACAGAGGACTGCATGTCACCACAGAAACACCAACACTTTAGCGCTTCGGCCATGTGCGCCCCCACCCGAGCCGCCGGCAGCTCCGTGTCCACCCCCACGCTGTCACGGGGCAGAAGCGCACACCCAGGCCCAGTGCCATCAGCCCTTGCCGCAGAACGGTCAGCCCGTGGCTCTTCACCGCCGTGCTCGGCCATCTGCTGCCTTATGGTCCAGCCGTCGGGACGCAGCCGCCGTGAACACCCGTGTGCTGGCTTTTTTGAGGACATGAGCTTCATTTCTCGAAAACATACCGAGTGACCACATGGGTGTGTGACAGGCATGTGCTCAACTCTGCAGGAAACCACAGGCGTTTCCTAGCTGCCCAGGGCTCTGCCAAGTGCCACCGCATGTTCCTCACCTCCCAACTGCCCACTCCTTCAGCTCTGGGGACTGTCACCGCTGCCCATAACGTGCCTCTTCTGGCCCGTCCCCTCCCTCGTTCCAAGGTTTCCGTAGAAGCACGTCAACGCCACTCAGCAGCCCGAACCCCACCCGTGTCCTCGTCCTGTCCCCCTTCCCACCCAGGGAATTGTCACTTTCGGCTTTGCTGCTCTTCAGTTCTAGAGCTTCTCAAATGTTCACCCAAATGAATCTACTGTCACTTTTCACAGTTATCAGTTCCTTGTCAAAATTTCAAGCTTGGTTCTCTCTTTGGCTGTGGCTGTGGTCACAGCCGCCCCCTGGCCCTGGGGGCTCCTGCCGCTGGTTTTCGCTCACACTCCTGGTTCCTCCGCTGCCTGGTTATCCGTGATTAGGGGAAGATGCTGCACTAGTAAATGACTTTTAGAAATAAATGGAGGCCGATGGCATCCTCTTCCTCGAAGGACCATCCCATTGGTTTCTGCCTGGGACATGGCGGTGCGGGGTGGCCCACAACCCAAGTCCAAGGCCCGATGCCGATGGCAATAGACTGGAGGGCGGATCACTGAGGGAGCATTTGGTTCTAGTCCATCTTTTCTCCAGGGCCTCAACCCAAACTAGGGGTGGTCAGCAGGGTCCCGTCCTCAAGAAGGCTGCCCAAAGCCGCCCCTTCCAGGGCGGCAGACAGCCTGGGCCCACACCGGCAGGGCCTGTCCATCCCAGCAGAGTCCGGCCTCTCCGGATCCTGTTGGCTCTCGGATGCTGTGAGGTTTTCCCAAACCTTTCCAAACCTATCTTCACCTGTCTCAGTGGAAAGGTTGTTCTGAAGGACTTAGTCGGCCGTGACTACAAACAGAAAGCCAGATTAACATACTTCACATCGTGGGGACCCTGTCACCTCCTGAGCAGACACAAATCGTGAGAGCTGCCCAAACCTGCCAACAGCTTGGCTGCAGGCTCCTGGGCGACTGCTGAGGCCGCCCATGCTGACCAGGAGGGCACAACCCGTCAGCCTCTACTACCATCCACCGTATCCACGTTCCCAGGCTCTACTTCTGGGAAAAAGCTGGAGATAATGGAGATGATTCAAGCAGCCACCTCCTGACAGGCCGGGTGACGACAGCGCTCCCGGCCCACCCACGCCCCATTCCCCGAGCACTCTCACGCCGCTACCTTCTCGTGGATCTCCTGCGTGGACTGCGCGTCACAGAAGGCCACCGTGGCCACGTCCTTCAGGATGGGCATCTCCACCGTGCAGTCCCGCCCGTCGAGCAGCGCCACCAGGGGCCGGGGGTGCAGGGGCCCGTTCATGATCGGAGGTCGGACGCCTGCAACGACAGAAGCGGACACTCAGCCTTCCACCGCAGCACAGCCCCTGGTAAGACCCACTGACCTCAGGGCCGAACACAGCTGACCCCTGGGAACGCTCTATTCTAAATGTCCAGTCACCTGGATCCTTGTCAAAAGTAAGTTAAAAGTAAGCAGGAAAAATGGAAAATAAACTAGTGTCTGCCACGGCTTACTGACGCCTAAATGGACACAGACAGATGGTGACCAGCACCACCCGCCACAGGGCGCAGGGCCTGAGATGCCCTCAGGCACAAGGGCAGGTCCCTGCAGGTCGTCACCATTTTGATGTTGGAATGTGTGGACCCTCACGCAATGGGGAAAGCACCCATGTTTCCTTCCTGCCCAGAACCCCCAACAGGGACGTCTCCCAGGGCCTGGTGTCACTCGCACTGGTGGATGGGAAAGGGCGAGAAGCAGAAAGGCTGAGGACCCTGGAACGCAGCAGAGCCCACACGTCCCTGCAACCAGAGCACAGAATCACTGAAACCAGCTCCTTCCCAATGCAAGGGCCACTCCACCTCGCTGTGGGCCTAGGCGGAGACAGAGCTTCTTCACGGGTGACATACAGGACGGCAACCGCCAGGTGCCACCTGTGCCCTGTGCTGGGCCGCGCCAGCACCATCCATCCCCATGGCCTTGAAAGAAACTCGCCCAGGGGACAACCACACAGCCCCTCGGCATGACAAGCCAGTGTGCAGACAGCCGCCGGGCGCAGGATGAGACCCGAGTAGAGGGTGACTGCTGGCTCCCCAGCCACCCGTCACGGCCACTCATCCTGCAGGCACACCGCTCACCCACCGCCTTCACAACAGCAAAGACATCAAGATGCCAGACCGCCCCCGGCCAGCGGCCCTCACTGTGGGGTCTGCCAGGTCAGACCTCGCCTAGGGTCCCCCCTCATCCCTCCGAGCGAGCCCTGTGCGCCTGGACCCCCCTCCATGCGCCACACAGTTGGTGACTGAGCAAGGGAGGGGGACACGCTGTCAGCAGGGCAGCAGAGCCGTGCAAACACGCGCAGTACCACCCGCCTCTGCAGCCTGACGTGGAAAACAGTGTTTCTTCTTTCTGCGTTAAGGGGTCATTCATTGCTATTTGTAAGTGAATTGAGAAGCGCCTACTTTCAGCATTCCTTGGCTTCAATTCGTAACAAATAAGCATCGATCCGTACATGTGAACTAAGTTCAGGGTCCTCAGTGGCCTCAGGCAGAAAGCAGGTGGGGAGGGACATTGCTGAACAGCAGGACCTGAAGGCGCTGGAAGGCCCCGCTGGGGCCCGGTAGGGAACGTATGCTGGAGAGGACACGGTGACTTGTGAGGCGCCGATGGGAAACGCCACCACAGGCGGCCCCAGCGGAGTTCCAGGGCCCTCTGGCCACCGGCCCACCCTTCCCCGGGGGGCGCCAGGCTTCGCGACCACGCGGCTGGTGCAGGAACAGGTCTTGGCAGCAAGATCCTCACCCAGCACCGAGTTCACACGAGACTGACCAGAACAAACGTGATGCTGGCCTGTGAGCTGGGGGCCAGCAGGGACGGCAGGTCCTCATATGGGGCCCGAGGAACCCCCCCAGAGAGCCTCTTGACAAAAACCAACCACGGCGGCAAAAGTGAGGCCTGTGCCCGCTCTACCAACCACCAGGCACGGGCGTCTGTTCCAGAAATGCGGGAACACTCCTTTGGGTCGCCGCGTCAGTGTCCTCGCCTGCGGCACATGCAGGGCCGCCCTGGACCGGGGACAGTGCCACCATGCTCCCAGGTGCAACGCCTGCCTGCCGAGGGACCGGCTTCGAGCGCTTTGCACTCCAGGAGCCCCTACCAACCTGACATTGCCTACTATGGGCTCGGCTTCCGCGACCATGAATTCGACTTTTCAAAGCGTTTTATCTTCAGAATCCCCAGGCAGAACCGCGTCCTGTCACTGGATCCTCAGCCCACGTCTTTAATTGTCTCGAACCAAAGCTCCTAGGCTCCTGATCCACAGCGACCACTGAAGCCTGTGCCGGGGTCAGAGTCTGACTAAAAATTAAACACAAGAGACACATTAAATCACCACCGAGGGCCGGCTAGAACTCACAAACTCCAGGAGCTCCTCCAAGCAAAGCTTCTCGCTGCGGCCGCCTCAATCCCATGCCTGCAGCCACGGGGCGGGACCCACCGGGAAGCAGGGCCTGCCCCTGCGTGGGGGTGACGACAGGCACCCAGCGACAGGCTTCTCCTGAGGGCCCAGCCCCAGCATCAGCTCCATGTACCTGGGACCCCCCCCCACGGGGCTCTGGTCCCACCAGACACCACCAGTGTCCATGAACCAGGAGGCCGGGCCACTGCGAGCATGGACAGGAGCACGCTGGGAGCAGTCTGCAGTCGGTTCTGGAAGCTTCTATCTCATGCTGCCTCTGTGACTGGACGGGGAGAGCGGAATTCCAGTGAGGCAGCCTGGGGGAGGGGCCGCGGGATGCAGACCCGGACGCGGACACGCGAGCCCCAATGTGGGGCTTCCCGGGCCAGCACAGGCACCAGCTGTCCTCCCCTCTGGCAGCACTCCAGAACTGGCACCGAGTTCAGTCACAGTCCTCCCCAAACTGCTGACCTGACAGGTGGCCAGACATCAGGCTGAATAGGACCTGCCGTCACAGACACCGGGTGGCTGACCGCACGGCGGCCAGGGACAAGCCCTCAGACACGCACAGCCCCCCGCCAGGCCCCGGCTTGTGAAGCTGGTGCAAGAGGCCATGGCCAAGCCAGCCAGCTGCCCCCCGCAGGTCTGAGGTGTGCTGCTGGGCGCCGTCCACCCCCCAGTGGCCTCGAAGTCTGGAAGTTTCTCCCCTTGATTCCTTCCCTGGGGTCAAGCACCCACACTGACCCCTCATCGCCGGCTCCCAGGCAGCTGGGGACACCTGGCCACAGGGAACATGGTGCATGGCTCCTCGCCAATGAAGTCGGGGGCTCAGGCCTTTCTCCCCACAGTGGGCAGTGTGCTGGGCCCTGGCAGAGGGCGCTGGGGCCACACAGCTGAGGAAGGGGTCCGGACACCAGACCCCCAGCAGACACCAAGCTTCCTTCTGCGTCCCAGGCAGACATGCACGGAGGCCCCTGCCTCGGCCAGGCCGACCCCCACACCTGGACCTGCATCTCACCGCAGTCTGGTGCTGCCCAGACAGGTGCCCCCTCTGCTGTAGGAGGCGGGACACTCCCTCAGCTGCGGGCACCAGAGCCCCGAGCCCCGAGCCCCTTCTCTCACATCCCTCTTTAGTCACAGCTAAGAGCTCTTCTGGGCAGGCAGGCAGCGGGTCCGGGCTGTCCCCACCTCACCCAGAATTGGCACGCCTGTCCCCACCATGCCCACTCTGGGTGTGCACTTATGGTCAAGCCGCCAGGAGAGCGGCTCCACCACGAAGGACTGGACACCCTGAGCTCTCCTGATACACAGACTCACAGCCACACTCGTCTCAAGAAAATACAAAACACAGGAAATTGATTGTTTTCACTTTATAAATGACAGACACTCCTTTTTTAACTTTGTTTCATAAAGAAAGTACTCAGAGGCCGGCCAAGTGGCGCGTTAGTTAAGAACTGGCTTGGGACACCAGAGGGCCCCGGTTGGGATCCCACATGAGGGCCAGTGACACTGCCCTCTACAGCTAAGATGCTGAACAACAGCTCAACCTGGAGCTGGGCTGCCCTGAGTCCCTGGCGATGGCGTAGGCTGCAGCCCCTGTGGCGATGAGTTGCCATGGGCTACCGTGTGTAGCCAGCAGCCAGCATGAGCGGCCGTCCAGAAGCCGGCAACTGATCTGCCTCGCCAGGGAAGAGCGCAATGATGGTGCCACTTGGGCCAGTGAAGCAACGTCCTCCACAACTAGACTGAAGAACAGAAAAGACAGCAACTTGTCTGTTCCCCTTCCCCCAATTCCCCAGTGCTGTTCCCATCCCCCAATTCCCCAATAAAATCTTAAAAAAAAAAAAAAAGTACTCAGTCACAGCCCAAAGCTGTCACCCCACAAACCTAGACATGACCTCCTGGGGGCTGCTCCGTGACAGGGCTCACCCCAGAGAATGTCCAGGGGCCTCAGTGACTGTCCACTACCGGCCAGCCAGTGGCAGTGGGGAGAGGACAGATGGTCAGAGGAGCAGCAGTGCTGGCCCGGGCTCAGGCCTCACCCCACCCTGATCTCCACAGGATGGGCATGGGGACAGTGGTGGGTGCAGGGGCCTGGGGCAGCAAGCTGCCCCCCAGGACACAGGCCACCAGCCTCGGTCAGGTGATGGCTGCCAGCCGCTGAAGGAACCCCAGGTCTCGGCTGGCTCTGCAGGGCTTCCTCTGGGCCCCAGGCCTGCACCTCCCAGCAGCCGGTGCTCAGGGCAGGCCCCACAACCCCACAGCTGGCACTCCTCGTGGGAAACCCATGCTTGCTCCCTCCTGCTGACGGCCTGCGGTGGGGGCCCTGCCAGGACCACAGACCCCGAAAGACCTGCAGCCCACTTCTAACTAAGGCGGAGCCAGCCATCATCTCTTCCCGTGCTCCCAACGTTGCCACAGACGTTCCAAAGCAGAGGCAGCTGGGTCTATGTGGCCAACCAGCAAGCCTGACCAGTCAGCGTGGCCTTTACTAGGCACAGCGAGTGTCCCTTCTCTCCGAGGCGCTCGGGACTCAGCACCATGCGTGACAGTGACGTGTTGGCACTGCATACAGGTCCCAAAAGTCCGTGCAGCCCTGGGAAAGGACCAGATCCCTCAGTGTCCACCGCTAACCTTTCTGTGAAAACAGCTTCAAAAAGAAGTTCTGCTTCGCTGATGCCTGGCCGAAGTCTCCAAGCACAAGGGATCGGCCAGAGGGCACAGGCTCAAAGGCCAGCCTGCACAGGGCTTAGAGACCCCGGGCCCGACATGCAGACAGCCAGGACGAGTGGGGCTTGCGCCATCCCAGCCCGATGCCCCACAGGCCACAGTGCCTGCACACAGGACAATGTCTGCCAGGGCCAGGGACCATGAGTCAAGACACGGGAACTCGACCATCTAACCACACCTAAGATAACGAGACCACGCAACGGATCGCAAGAACCTTCTACTCTAGTGCTGAGGGGACATTCACGTCGAAAATACTGACCTCCACCTTGTTTCAGCAATACATCAAGTAGAAGCCCCGTGATTTCACCGCTCAAAATAACAACACAAGAACTACATGGACACGGGCGGTGGCAGAGGGGGGTGAGGACAGGCCAGGCAGGCCTGCTGCGCAGACAAGAAGGGTCCCATGTTTAAAAAGAGAGCGAGGGGACGGCTGGAGGAGCACAGCCTGGGGCTAGCAGGCACAGACCCCGGGGACCACGTCCTAGGGGTGCCTGATGCCCATGAGCAACGAGGCCTGTTTCTCGCTCCCCACTCCATGTCCACCCACGTCCACCTGTGTCCCCTCCATCTCAGGTATCACATCTCTTGGCTGCATCATTTTCTCTTGGGCTTGATTTAAGCTGGGGTTGTTTTGTGCAGCAACAGGCTGTTCAGGCTGCACCACAGCCCAGGTATGCAGGCTGATAGCCCAGGTGTGCAGGCTGGTAGCCCGGGTGTGCAGGGTGGTAGCCCGGGTGTGCAGGCCGGTAGCCCGGGTGTGCAGGCCGGTAGCCCGGGTGTGCAGGGTGGTAGCCCGGGTGTGCAGGGTGGTAGCCCGGGTATGTAGGCCGGTAGCCCGGGTGTGCAGGCCGGTAGCCCGGGTGTGCAGCAGGGCTGGACTATCTACGTGTCAGTGCCTCTGTGACATCTGCACAATGATGCAATCACCTAACGATGCATTTCTCAGAAGGCATCCCCCTCAGTGAGGGATGGCCCCAGCCCCCTTGGTGACCCCGGGGGTAGGTGGCCACTGCCCCAGGGCAATGACTCACTCCCCTCAGCTGGCCCAAGGTTGTAAGGTATCTAGAGACCCTCCCCTGGTCAGCCCAGTCTGGGGCTCTGAGTGCAAAGGTTCGTCCAGTCTTCACCAATTCACGACAAACCCCAATCCCTGCCCTCGCCCATCCCTCTCTCCCCACACCTGGTCACTGCACAGGCTGGGGGTGGCTGCACCTGACCTTCACTACACCTGCCCAGGGCATCTGCCCAGCACTTCCCAGTACCTGACACTCCCAGGCTCCCGCTTCGTCTTCTTGGCTTCACCTCCTTCCAGCCCCCTACCCAGGCCTCCCGGTCACCTCCTGCCCTGCTCTGGCATACCAGTTGGGGACAGCCGGGGACGGCCATGTGTGCTGGTTTACAGTCAGGGCCCCGTGAGGTCAGAGTGTCGGCTCCGCCAGCACCGGGCTTCTGTGGGGCCACCTGTGCCTAGCACGCCCACATAAGGGGGCTTTGGGCCCAGCAGGCACATGGGCAGTGAGTGAATTCTGACCAGCAACACGCACGCCCACTCTACTCCCAGCTCACCTGACAAGCTGCGCCGTGCCCATACGTGCCTCGTGACCCCATGTGCATACCTGCACCCCGGGAACTCAGCGAGGTGGCCAGAACGCAGAGCAGGCGCCGCTAGTGATGAGCCTGCTGGGCCCTGCAGTCCCCAAGCTGCTGGGCCACCCTGGCAGGGGGTCAGGCAGGACCACGAGCCGAAGCCGACAGGGCCGACAAGCATGTGACTAACGCCGGCACAGAATTCCAGACGGGCAGATGACACACTGGTGCCGTGTGCTCACCCAGCAGGCGGCACGGGACAGGAGGGACGGTCGGGACTTCAGCTGTGACTCGAGTGCCGTGCTCATGTGAGACACCAATGAGCAGATGCCCATGCAGGGGACGAGCACACCACACCACCTCCACCATCTTCCAGCAAGTCTAAAGCTGGCCTACCACCGTTCATTTAAAGAAAATGGGGAGAAGACGGGACCTCAGGCCCCAGGGGGGCGGTGATCCAGAGGCCACTCCCACCAGCGTCTGGGCACCACACGGCTCTCCAGTCACCCAGAGGGACCAGAGGGTGCAGCTGGCACACGCCAGGGTCACGGGAGGCGCTGGGCCCCCAGACCAATCCCAGCAGGCACCAGTGTCATGTGGACAACAGTTCGTGCTGAGAACCATGCTGGGCCATCCCTGTCCATGCCACTCGGGCCATGCCATGCCCTAAGCACAGGCTGAGGCGTCCCCAGGTGGCTCTGCCTCCCCTTGCAGCTGACCAAGGCCCCACTCCATGTCCAGCCTCAGTAACTGACCCACCCCCACCTGCTCGGGCCCCACACTCAGAATCCTAAAGCGAGAACCTTATCCTCACCCAAAGAATGCTAGGCCGTCAGAATGCCACGGGGCCCTGCCGCCCGCACCTGACGTCTCACAGCTGCTGCAAGGGTGCCTGCGTGGGGACACCTCCACCTAGGCCGGGGCTCACTGCGGGGGCTCGGTGTCAGACTCAGGGACCTTGCGGTCAGTGGCCAGCCAACTGGAGACACAGCCTCTGCCACAGACAGGCGGCCCAACAAGTCATCGTGGACACCCTGCGCACCTCACGACAGGCCACAGTCCACACCTGGGGTGTCCAGAAAGGGCGCCCTTCAGATTGCAGCACCGCCCTTCCCCCTGCCCCCCCCCCATCAGCTGGTCCCGTTGGGATTCCTTCCGAAGGGTCCCAGGTTCCAGTCCCACCAGGTCGTCACCCTCCCCCATCCTGGCTCCAGAGCTGACGGGGGACACGAGGGACCACTTCCTAAGGATGACACGGGAATAGCAGCGGAAACAGCAGCATAAGAGCCACCCCTTGTCGTCCAGCTGAGAGGCCTGAGTTTTCCAGGTCTGTAGGAAAACGGGTGTTTCCTCTCACAAGACCAGAGCCTATCAGGGTGGCCAGGGTGGGGCCCATGGGCTGGTCTGACGCTGAGCTTCCGGAAGGGATGGTCCCTAACCTGGGGACGGGGGAAGTACAGCATGGGTCACCCTCACCTGCACAGACAGTGGTGCCAGGGCCACCCAGGGCTTGGAGCCAGGCGTCCCCAGAGTGAGGGCCAGCAGTCCTCCTTCAGGCCACCAGTGGGGAAACTGCAAGTCTTCTAGGAGAGCTGTCACCGGGTAAAAAGCTCAGGATGCCACACCTCTGACACCCCCGCCAGCCACAAGCAACACCAGGACCCACCCACAAGGGGGTCTCGCCAACAGCACTGGCTGAGGGCAAAGGTGTCACAGCACTGACAAGCTGGGCCCCTGATACTCAAACAGGGTATCCCCAGAGGCTGCTCACACAGGAAACTCCAAGGGCAGGTGACAAACCCTCAGCAGAGAAAAGTCCCATAGAGGCCCAACACCCTGCTTGCGGCCTGCTGGCCCAAAGGAAGCCCCTGGCAAGCGCTGGTGGGGAGCCAAGGACGGACCTACCTCTGAACCCCAAGGCCTTCTCCTGCAGAGGGCTGCTCACTGGTGTCTGGGGTTGCTCAGGAAACATTTCAGGGCTCCCACTATGTGACAGGATCTCACAAGGGTGGATGGGCTCCGCTACCCACCATGCAAGGGCGGGTCTGCCCACCATGCTGGGGGCTGGCCTTCCTGAGTATATTTTTATCCAAATAAAGTTGCTACTTTAAAGAGGAGAATGGTGGTTGGGGGGCGGGGGTCCTGGAGAAGGGAAGAAAAGGCCCTGGGCCCCCATTTGTGACCGGACCCTGCAGCTTGGTCAGCTCACCAGAGAAGCGAGCTGTGCACCTCTCGGCGGTGGTGGCTCCCCTCCCCCGACCCGAAGGTCGGTCTGTCCTGACCAATCAGAGGGCAACGCTGTGCAGGGTCTGGCTCCCAGCCAGGTTCCCGCGGCTCCATCCCCTGGGGATACCGGAGGCGGCACCCTGGCTTCTCAGCGGGCAGGCAGAGGGCAGGGCTGGGCCCCAGCCAGAGAAAGCTCCAGCCTCCGCCCGCTGGCTCAGGTGTGGTCACAGCC